AGTTCATTCATCCTTGTTTTCACATTCTGACACATGTAAGAGATTTCGCCATTTATACATTCGGTATGTGCTTATTTAGTAAAAACATTTGGCAAGGATGGTCAGAATCTAGAGGTTATGGTGGTCTGGAGGAAGCCATGGAAGGGTCCTTTGTGTGGGGTATCAGGGGCGAAATGCTTTGTGTCATACCAAGCTGTACTGTATTGACAATTTGGCAGACAACCCAGGTGCTGTCTGCCATTCTTGTTCTAGTGATATTATCCTGAAATCCAGGAGCTAAAGTAGTTACCCACCCCCCCCCCCCCCCCCCCCCCGCCTTTTAGTTGGTTCCACTCGAAAACTCATACAATTTTCCAAAAAGTTTGGTGTTATTGTACTTATTCCAAAGAGGGTGTAAGAAATAACGGGCAAGAATGGTTGACTAGTGAGCAAGCATGCGTACAAGTACTTGTCAGAATATGTTGTTTGTGTAGCCTGCAGTGGGGTACTCTATAGTGAGTACAGTCCCTTAGGGTTTGCCATTTGTATCCTGCTGCTTGCTAGTTCAATCATTCCTTCTCAATTCTGTTCCTGCACACAATCCTAGCTCGTACTTGGCTCCTCGTTACTAGTCCTACTGTGGCCTAGGCTACTAAGCCTAGGCCGTACTCCTACTACTTCTGACATGGTATCAGAGGGCGGCATGTCTGCCGCCTTCCTGTGTATGGGCCCACCACCCGCTTCCGCTGCCGTACTGTCCGCCGCGCGCCCCGTGGTGCGCGGCGGCGAAACCCTAATTTCTGCCCGCCGCGCGCTCGGGGCGCCTGGCGGTTTTCCCTTCCGTGGCGCCCGTCGTGGTGCCCTTGGGGGGGCCTCCGCGGTCCCCTCCCGTCGAAGCGCCCGTCGAGGCGCTCTCGGAGACCCGCGCGGCCTCCCCCCCCGTCGCCCGTCGAGGCGACCTCGGGGACCCGCGCGGCCTCCCCTCCCGTCGCCCGTCGAGGCGACCTTGGGGGCCCGCGCGGCCTCCCCACCAGTCGCCCGTCGTGGCGACCACGGGGGCCGCGCGCGGTCCCCTCCCGTCGCCCGTCGAGGCGACTTCGGGGGCCGTGCGCAGCGCCCTCCCCGTCGCCCGTCGTGGCGACTTCGGGGGTCGTGCGCGGCCCTCCCCGTCGCCCGTCGAGGCGACTTCGGGGGGCCCGCGCGGCGCCCTCCCCGTCGCCCGTCGAGGTGGCTCTGGGGGCCCGTCGCGGCGCCCTCCCTGGTGCCCGTCGCGGCGCCCCGGGGGGGGCCGCGCGGCTCCCTTCTCGTCGCCCCTCGGGGCGCCCTGGGGGCCGTGCGTTTTCCCCCCCCGCGGCCGCCCCTGGAGCCGCCCGCCACTGCAGCAGCAGCCCCTGGAGCCGCCCGCACCTGCAGCAGCCGCCCCTGGAGCCGCCCGCCAGTGCAGCAGCCGCCCCTAGAGCAGCCCGCACCTGCAGCAGCCGCTCCTGGAGCAGCCCACACTTGCAGCAGCCGCCCCTGGAGCAGCCCGCACCTGCAGCAGCCGCCCCTGGAGCAGCCCGCACCTGCAGCTGCCGCCCCTGCAGAAGCCCGTCCCCCCCCCCCCCCCCCCCCCCCCCCGTGCTGCTCATTGCTCCCATTCCACCGTGCGTTCCGCGGTGGTTGGGGTGTGGGGTGGCGAGCATGGGGGTGAGAGGTGTGGGTTCTCCCCTCCTCCTTTTTCGTCTCCCACTGCTGCAGCTGCCGCTGAGGGGGGTGGAGGTGTGGGAGTCGTGGGGAGTGGCACTAGGGGGGTGATGTGGGAATGGAGCTAGGGGTGAAACAGGGGGTGTGTGAGAGGGGTGTGGGACTGTTGGGGGAGGTTGAGTGAAGGCTGCTGTCTTGTCGTCCGCAGCACCTGTAGTCCGGGGCGCACTGTCCTGGTAGCTCAGAGAGCCTGCTGCACCTGTTGCCCGTGGGTCCGTTGCTCCTGCCGCTCGTCGCAGCCGCAGAGCCTGTTACTCCTGTATTCCGGGACGCACTGTCTCGGTAGCCACTGAGAGCCTGCTGCACCAGTCGCCCGTGGGTCCGTTGCTTCTGCCGCTCGTCGTAGCCGCAGAGCCAGTTACTCCAGTATTCCGGGGCGCTCTGTCTCGGTAGCCACTGTGTCAGCCGCCACTGTGTCAGCCGCTTCTGTTGCCCGTGTGTCTGCAGCTTCAGTCGTCGCCTCCCATCTTCTCTCCTTTCATAGTCCCTCCTCCTCCTCACTTGCCCTCTGTGATAGCCTCTAGCTTTGCTGATAATTATGAACTATTGCTATGACTGCTCATTGTGCTGATTACACCCCACTTTGGCTATGGGGGTGTGTCAGAATATGTTGTTTGTGTAGCCTGCAGTGGGGTACTCTATAGTGAGTACAGTCCCTTAGGGTTTGCCATTTGTATCCTGCTGCTTGCTAGTTCAATCATTCCTTCTCAATTCTGTTCCTGCACACAATCCTAGCTCGTACTTGGCTCCTCGTTACTAGTCCTACTGTGGCCTAGGCTACTAAGCCTAGGCCGTACTCCTACTACTTCTGACAGTACTAGGGTTGACCTAAAGTGTGTACCCTTTATAGTTTGCCCCACTTCAGCCTAGAGACATACAAATGCAATTTTACACACCCCCACAGGCAAAGTCGGGAATAGCAAACACAATGAACAGTCACAAGACCAGTCAAGCAAGAGAACAAAAGAAATCAAAGCTCAGGGTGGATCCCAAGATCACCACGCAGTCTGAGCACAAACAAGCGGCCATAAGGCCAGTTCACATGCAGAGTTTCAAAATCACAAGCAGTACAGTGATCGCAACTTAGCAAGAGCAAGCATGCATGTATATATATATAGATCACAGTACAAGACAAGTCAAGCAACCAACAGGTGAGGCAGAGTAGGCACAAGACCTAGAGCAGTGCAGAAACGCTAATGATCACCAAACTCAAGGGCCTTGGTGAAGACATCAGCACTGTTGGCCCGAGAGGCCACGTAAGCAAGGCTCAGCTGACCACGCTGCTGCAACTTTTGAGCCAGAAAGTAACGCAGAGCAAGCGTGGGCTGCAGGGCAGGGCGGCGCGCGGGCAGCAGAGCAGGGCAGCAAGCGGGCAGAGCACAGGGCAGGGCAGCGTGAGTGACGCTGTTCGGGCAGGGCAGGTTACGACCAGGCAGGGCAGTTCGGCCAGTGCGAAAAAACAATGGTGGGCCCTAACGGAGCGGTCCTACGGAGGGACCTGCTCTGAATACCATGTCAGCAATAACGGGCAAGAATGGTTGACTAGTGAGCAAGCGTGAATACAAGTACTAGGGTTGACCTAAAGTGTTGTACCCCTTAGAGTATGCCCCACCACAGCCTAGAGACATACAAATGCAATTTGATAGAGCAAGTAGTGGCAAGGGCTGTCTTACTCTAGCAAATTTATCCTATCAAAACTCTCTTATTCCAATATAATACATGATTAGTTTGCAACGAATCAGCTTGTGTCGTTGAATCCAGGGCTCATTTTTGGTTTTGACCAACCCTTACGATCAGTCTAGCACCTGTTCAAAAACCTGATTTTCAGGGTTACCCGTTGTGGAAAACCTGATGCGTCAGGGTTTTTGCATGTATTAAAACGACTACCCTGAGGCATCAGTGTACCAATTCGCAAAACCCTGTTTCAGTTGTTCTTAACACAGCATACAATAACAAGCTTAATCATCACCACAAGGTTGTTGCTCGTGGTCACTGTCCTCCTCTGGCTCCGGCACTTTCTCCTTGCCTCGAATGAAACTGTATTTCTGGCCAATGGTGGCCCACCTCGTTCCAGCACACGTAAAGTCCTGCCGAAATCTACATTTTCGACAGTTGGCAAAGGGAAAATCCTGGTTCCGGGGTAGGGTGGTTAGGGGATGGAGGGGGGGGGGGGGGGGGAGGGGTGGGGGTTCGCTTGTACGCGCTTCAGAGTAAACCTCGATAAGCGGAACGGCAACCCTGAGGCGACAGTGTTCCTTACTCTTAAAACCTGGCACATCAGGGTAAATCAAGGTCCCGAAAACATTACCCATCAGCATCAGTGTTACTACCAAAAATCACCCTTCTAATCAGGGCATCAGGGTGATTTACACTGATAACGTGGGCCCTGGTTGAATCTCCTACATGTGCTTCGAGTTGACACTGAAGCTACAGTGATTGACACGCCAAACACACGCGCTTCGGGTTGACACGCATAAACTCATAGTCTCAAAAATACGGACGCGAGATGCGCAAATTTTTGTATTCCCACATAAACTACCGAAGGAAACCACCTTGTGCATGTCATGGAAAGTTCTTATGCACATGTTTTTGGTTCTGGAAAAACTGTTTTGCAAGAAACTTGTGCAAATGTTTGGAGCATATTCACGTGCCTTGAACGAGTGATGGTGATGTGGTGAAAAGCTTACAGCATGATGTGTACATGTTCAGCGTATGATAGTAACTGCAAACGAAAATGCTATTGCAGGGTAACGAGGTTGTTTGGCCAACGAAGCGGTGCGATTTACGGCGATTGACGTTTTCACGTCAGATCACTTCGCGCCATGTTTCCCTTCCCGCCTCAAAATCCCGAACCGCCGATACTTTGCTTTGGAAGTCGATGCGGAATTCGGGAATGGGGGGGTTCGGGTGGTTCGGGGGGGAACTCACAGGTCAGGTGGCTAGGAAACGAAGATCCTTCTCAAACGAAAGTTCGCCGGCGCACTCCAGCTGGCGGGGTGCACAGTCCGCCGATCCGACGCTGAGGGGAGGACTGCCTGCCTGCCATGACCGTGACGTGTGGGCAACGCCACTTCAGCTCCAAGGATGTTCAGAATTTCGGAACCACTTCGCCACGTCAGGGCGAATGTTCAGTGTCCGTCCAGATTTGCATAAAGGTTGTCATATTTCGCCAGTGCAGATAAGCCACCATATATATATTTCTCAGTATTTTCCGTACCCACCGAGCAGTCCGTTCATCTCTCACTATCTTTAGTTTCTGTACCTGTTCGCGACGATCAATGGGCGGGGCAGTTATCGTTGTCACCAACGAGGCTGAGTGGGACCGCAGCCTCGAGGATGCTGGGGATAAAGCGGTGAGCTGAATTGACAGCGTCGATCTAGCTCTCAGCGTCTCTGCCGCGGCTGATTCTGCAACTTCGTTATGCCGTCGCAGGCCGGGGATCGGTCCAACATTCCGTCGCCGTGTTTTGTTTGTTACACTCGGTAGTCATCGCATCGTAGTACTGAACTGGATCAAGTTTCTCACCTTGGTACTCCCTGATTCTTCAGGTCGTCGTGGATTTTCATGCGGTTTGGTGCGGGCCTTGCAAGATGATCGCTCCAAGTTTTGAGGCATTCTCGACTGAATTTTCAAACGTCGTCTTTCTTAAAGTGGACGTCGATGTCGCTCAGGTTCGTGTTTGCCGTGATTTGCCCCGCCTGTCGCATTGTCTTCTTTTCTCTGCTCTGTCGAGACCTGCTTTTATCTGCTCTTTATCGATATTTTCCGTCACTTTAAGATTGCTGATGGTTCCTGCTTCCTAACATTGCAGAAAGTGGCAGAGCAGTGCAATGTTTCCGCTATGCCGACCTTCCAAGTGTACAAGAACAAAACTAAGGTGGCGGAACTTATCGGAGCGAGTAAGGAAAAGCTTTATGCGTTGATCAAGCAGTATAATTAACTAGGATATCGACCTAGTGAGCTGAGCTCTTTCTCCTAGGGTCCCCTAGGGGTAGGGTGCGTACTGGTATTGGAACTACGACTGCGTATTATTCATTTTGGTGTCTATGAATGAACAGAAAGTACATGCTCGGTGTAGAGAGATCTGGGTGGGGCGGGCGGGGATCTTACTCACTACCACTGCCAGTGGTGGTTTGTCACCCTGTCCCGCCTGCACCTGCCTACCTGACCCCTCCAGTGGAATAGACCCTAGCAGTACTACGGTACTACGGTAATCATTCCTCCCGGAACTGCCACCTTACCTACAGTACTATTTCCCACATTCTGAAGGTATCAGCTCCATCATCAGGAATATCGTATTCCTAAGGTAACTTCAGGGATTGGGCTGCCGCTGCGGTGATTTTGAGAGACGGAAGGCGCGGACTCGTTGAACGCCTTTGTACTCGGGCTGGACGTTTGCATCGGCATCAAATGTGGATCCCGGTGATAGAACCTTGTCCAGGTTAGCCAAGTTCTTCCCCAGTTCCCCCTTGATGCTGCAAATCAAACAACACAACACAAGACAGGATTTGAAGAGAAAAAAATACGGATAACAAAACAAGATATGGTGGCTGGTTGAACTGGAATCAGCAGACAAGGTTAGGGCTTCGAGTTTGTCCATTGCCAAAGACGCACCTCATTTCTGGCTTCTGTGTGACGTCATACGATGCACTCCGGCGATGAACACGAGCAGTCTTACGCAGCCTGCCAGCCTGGTTCCTCTGCTGCTGCTGCTGCTCCTGGCTGGCCTGGCTTGACGTTGCCTGAGAGTTCACATGAGGAGAGTTGAGCCGCCCATACGATGCCTTCGGTGGCAGCTGCTGCCGCAGCAGCAGGTGCTGTGGCTGTTGCTGCTGCTGCGGCTGTTCATCAGGAGAGGATAGCGAGAGTGTCAGGGGTGAGCGAGTCGAAGAGTCTGATTGCTCCTCCATACCAGAGGTGAAGCTTCTCCTCTTTGGTTCCCCCAGCTGTGCTACTGCGTCCAGCGCGCAAGCCTCAGCTTCCGGTGGGCAAGGTTCGGCAGGTAGCGAGGACGAAGAAGGCAGGATGCTGCTTGTCCGCCTTTCTCTTTTGGGCATGTCTGCATGGCCTGCAGCATCAGAACCACCGAAGCTTCTAGCAGGATACATGCTGCCTGAACTTGGCGAGTGGTGGAAGTTAGTCCCACTGAGGAAAGCACTAGCACTGGTTACTCCATCAGCAGGAGAATCACCAGCACGGGGAGCATGGAAGAAGACGTCAGATGCAGTGGAAAGGCGTGCAGGAGGGGGGTCAGCTGCGAGAGAAAGACCTGAGGAGGAATGATAAGGATGATTGGAAGGAGATGCTGTGGCGAGACAGGCGTCTGCATCGCCAGCACTGGCAGCACTGCCGGCACTGGAGGCACCGCTGGCACTGGCTGCATGGAAGAAGGATCCAGAAGCAGTGGAAGGGCGATTGGAAGGGAAAGCAGGTGAGGCTTGTATCGATCCCCAGCTGGGACGGCGCCGGTGTCTAGCCGAAGAGGCAGGCTCGGGAAACGCAGCAGCAGAAGCAGAGGCAGAGGCAGAAGCAGAGCCGGCTGAAGCGAACATGCCAGAGCTGCGGGCTGATGGGCTGCTGCGTTTTCGTGCAGAGTTGCCCGGGGAGGAGAAGTCCGGCAGGAGGGAAGCGGCGGAGTAGGCTTGCTGCCTCTGGATGTTCTTGGGATCCAGGTAGCGCTCGCGACTCCACTCCCTTCCCTGCACGCAGTCAAGCCACGGGGGGGAGTTTTTCTATTTAGAATTCTGACAAAAAAAGAAGCTCACGGCTCCACTCCCTGCCCTGCACGCAGTCAAGCCAGAGCGGGGAGGGAGGCTGGACATCTGAGGCGCCTAAAAAACGGAAGCAACAGAGTGGGTTGCTGTCTCTGGATGTTGGCTGGGTCCAGGTACCTCCAGCCCTTCCCGTGCACGCACTCGGTGGGTGGGGAAATCAGGGATGGGGAGAGAGAGATGTTTTAGGCGCCCCAGAAGTCGATTCCGAAAACACACTAGGTGGGTGGGGGAAGAAGTGATTGGGGAGAGAGAGGATGTTTGAGGCCCTTGAAAAAGAACAGATATCAACTCCACGAGCACAGATTACACACTGGTGGTAGATCACTCCTGCAGCTTTGCACACGCTTACAGAGTCAGCACTGAAGAGAGGAGAGGGGAAGGGGTTGATGGAAGAGGGGGGGGGGAGGTCAACGACGGCTGTTGATTGAAACACGACTGATGGAAGGTTGAGAGGGGAAGGACGGGAAGGGGAGGTAAGGGGAGGGGAGGGGAGAAGAGGAGATGGAAGAGGAGAGGGGGAGGTCAACGACGGCTGATTTTATCCACCTTTCTTCTCACTTTGTTGCGTTTATCACGCAGGACAATGGGCACACCCTCCTGCAAAGGCTCTATCGCTCGCTGTACAGACCAAATAGGGAGTCCACTGGTCATGCTTCCCACACCCACATTACATCCACCACTGGTTTCAAGCCTCACCTTGTTGAATTTATCCATCAGATCGTCCATTGTTCTCTGTACAGACGACAAGCCAGGAAGCCCGCTGGTTACGCTTCCCACGCTTCCCACGCTTCCCACGCTTGGCATACCAGCTGCTACCGGTGCCACAGCCAACACATCAGTAGGAGATCGATTACTCCTGCTGTTAGCAGCGGTAGTGGTTATTTTCGGCCGCAAGCTGGCTGCTGCATCGAAAGTTGCACCCACGGAGGATAGGATACTGGTTGACCCAAGGTTTACAGGGGGTAAACCTGGAATCAACCTGGATGTCCCATGATCAGTTGTAGGTACATTGGCAGGGAAGGAACTTTCTGCGCTGAGCTTTGCAGCTGCTGCAGCAGCAGGGGCAGTGTTGGCAGCAGCAGCAGCAGCTGCAGCAGCAGAAGCAGCAGCAGCAGCAGCAGTGGTGGTAGTAATGGCTGATCCAGCTGTTTCTGCATCTGCATCTGCTTCTGTTTTTGCTTCTCCTTCCCCGGAGGCTTCTCTTTCTGCTGCTGCTTCTCCAACATGGCTTATAGAGGTGGATACAGGCAGCCCTGATGGTGCTTCTCCTGCTGCCACTGCCCCTCCAGCCACTACTTGTCCTGCTGCCACTGCCCCTCCAGCCACTACTTGTCCTGCTGCCACTGTCCCTCCAGCCACTACTTGTCCTGCTGCCACTGCCCCTCCAGCCACTACTTGTCCTGCTGCCACTGTCCGTCCTTCTACTGCTTCTACTCCTCCTGTCACTACCCCTGCTGCCACTGCCCCTTCTGACACCATTTCTGCTGCAGGGGCCGCCCCTGCTGCTGCAGTCACCTGTGCTGCTGCAGCAGAAGCAGCATCTGAAGCAGCAGCACCAGAGTCAGAACCCACCACCACATCCTTTTCAACTATAGCAGCAGCACCACGTTGAGCCGCATCCTTATTCCCACTAATACCCAAATCCCCATCACGTTCCTCCTCCTGTACCTCCTCCCATATCCCCCCCTCCTCACTCCCTTCCTCCAGCAGCGGCTCTAGCACCTCCGGCCGCTTGCTGCCCTTGCCTGACATCCCCACGCACGCTGCACTGCCCAGAGCAATAGATGGATCGGGCCAGACAGGGCCCCCTAGGCACGATGCAGTAACACCGTCGGAGGTGGTTGAAGAGGCGGGAACATGTGAGAAGGGATTGGAGGACGGACCAGGACCAGCATCAACATAGCCCTCAATTGAACCTCCACCCTCCTCGTTCCCCACACTTGCTCTACCATAAGTATCCCTGCCTCCTTCAAAACCACCATTGTCATGAATATCAGGACGATTCTTGCCGCCCTTGCCTGTTTTGTAACTTGCACCAGTATTTCCACCCGGGCCGCATGACAGGCCAAAACACTGCTGCTGCCACAGCAGCTGCTGATCAGCTGCCTCCTCGTCCTCTTCCTCGTCCTCCTCCTCTTCCTCGTGTCTTGGTGACCGATGGGAACCATGTGATTCTCTGCAGCGTTGCACCATGCCAGCACCATTTGCAGCACACGCACACGCACGAGTGCGAGTGCGCGCGCAATCGCAAGCACAAGCGCAAGCACACGCATATGCACACGCACAATCACACGCACAAGCACACACGCATGTTGCAAAGTGATCAGGGAATAGGCAGGGAAGAAGCCAGGGGGTGGAGGAAGTAGTGGGGGGTGAAACGAAGCAAGGGGAAAGTAAGGAGTGAGAGAGCTGGAAAACAGAAATGTTTCAAAGTGATCAGGAAATATGCAGGGAGGAAGCCAGGGGGTGGAGGAAGTAGTGGGGGGCAAAACGAAGCAAGGAAAAAGTAAGGAGTGAGAGAGCTAAGAAACAGAAATGTTGGACATGCCTACCAGACGTAGCAGTAACCAGGTCGTACCTGTTGTAACGGTAACCGCGATAGATGAGGAGGCCCACATAGGCGATGCAGCAGAACAGCGAGACAACGAGGTAGAGGATGAGTTTTGAGTCAATCGAAGCACGTCGTACCGGTGGTGATAACGGTAACCAGGTCGTACCGGTGGTGGTAGCGGTAACCACGTCGTACCGGTGGTGGTGGTAGCGGTAACCGTGGTAGATGAGGAGGCCCACATAGGCGGCGCAGCAGAGCAGCGAGACAACGAGATAGAGGATGAGCAGCGCCGTGAACTTCTGCACATTCACCTCCGTGAGCACTGCCGAGGCCGTCTGATCGTCAACGCACATATTGTCCTTCTGAAGAGGGAAGAGAGAAAAGACAAGAGAGAAGAGACAAGAGAGAAGAGACAAGAGAGAAGAGACAAGAGAGAAGAGACAAGAGGCACGAGCCGTGAGCTCGTTCACCTCCGTCAACACTGCCGAGCTGGCCTGGCCGTTGCTGCACAAGCTGTCCTTCTGAAGAGGGAAGAGAGAAAAGACAAGAGAGAAGAGACAAGAGAGAAGAGACAAGAGAGAAGAGACAAGAGAGAAGAGACAAGAGAGAAGAGACACGAGAGAAGAGACAAGAGAGAAGAGACAAGAGAGAAGAGACAAGAGGCACGAGCCGTGAGCTCGTTCACCTCCGTCAACACTGCCGAGCTGGCCTGGCCGTTGCTGCACAAGCTGTCCTTCTGAAGAGGGAGGGGGGAGTTTAGTCCCTTCTGAAGAGGGATAGCACGCACCTGCAAGTACCGAGTTAACCAATCCTCATACTCTTCCTTTGCACCCACCTGCAAGTACTGTTCCTTGAGCCGCTCCAGCTCCCCCTTCATCGCCAGCTCGAGGATAGCCTGAGAGATGTCCGCCCCCACCTGCCGCTCAGGGAAGGGGAGGGAGGGGAGGGAGGGAGGAGATATGATTTTTGAGAGGACTAAGAGGAGGAAGGGGAGCGAAGGGAGGAAGGGAGCGGAGAGAAGGGAGGAAGGGAGGGAAGCATGCAATTCACTTTAGCGAGGCGTAGGGATGTGATGCCACAGTGCATCACATGCATCACATGCATCACATGCATCACATGCATCACATGCATCACATGCACCACATGCACCACATGCACCACATGCATCACATGCACCACATGCACCACATGCATCACATGCATCACATGCACCACATGCACCAGATGCACCACTTGCATCACATGCACCAAATGCACCATGGTCCACATGCATCACATGCACCATGGTCCACATGCATCACATGCATCACATGCACCACATGCACCACATGCATCACATGCACCACATGCATCACATGCACCAAATGCACCATGGTCCACATGCATCACATGCATCACATGCACCACATGCACCACATGCATCACATGCACCACTTGCATCACATGCACCAAATGCACCATGGTCCACATGCATCACATGCACCATGGTCCACATGCATCACATGCATCACATGCACCACATGCACCACATGCATCACATGCACCACATGCATCACATGCACCACATGCACCACATGCACCACATGCACCACATGGGACCACGGTGCACAGTGCACCACAGTGCACCACACTGCAACACAATGCACCACACTGCACCACACTGCACGCACAAAGGCGAGGTTGAGGATGGAGAAGGGCTGCGGCGCCTGCACGCCGTCACAGAAGGCAGCGGAGAAGAGGTTGAGGTAGGGGTCCTCGTCCACTATCACTGTCACCCTTCCAGACGCCAGCGATGATGCATACTCGCTCTCCCCCGCCAACGACACCAGCTTGTCCTGCCAGCCAGGGGAGAGGGTGAACACAAGGAAGAGGAGAAGAGGTTGAGGTAGGGGTTCTCGTCCACTATCACTGTGACTCGCCCCGAGGTGAGGGAAGATGCATACTGGCTCTCCCCAGCTAGTGATACCAGCTTGTCCTGATGGAATTCCAGGGGTGTGTGGAGGGACGGAGAGAGAGGGGTGGGAAGGGAAGGGACACGGGCAGTGGGGAAGAGGTTGAGGTAGGGGTTCTCGTCCACTATCACTGTGACTCGCCCCGAGGTGAGCGAAGATGCATACTCACTCTCCCCTGCTAGTGATACCAGCTTGGCCTGATGGAATTCCGTGCATGTGCCGAGGGACAGGGGATGGGGGGTGGGTGGGGAGAATGGGGACCAGTCACGGTAGTGTCATTGTGAAAGACGTTGAAAACGGCATGAAAGGAAGCACGGGCATGGCAGTAGTGAACAGGATTGTGAACAAGGCACTCATAGGAAAGAGGCACTCACAGGGCACTCACAGGAAAGAGGCACTCACAGGAAAGAGGCACTCACAGGAAAGAGGCACTCACATTTAAGAGGCACTCACAGAAAAGAGGCACTCACATTAAAGAGGCACTCACAGGAAAGAGGCACTCACAGGAAAGAGGCACTCACAGGAAAGAGGCACTCACAGGAAAGAGGCACTCACAGGAAAGAGGCACTCACAGGGCACTCACAGGAAAGAGGCACTCACAGGAAAGAGGCACTCACAGGAAAGAGGCACTCACAGGAAAGAGGCACTCACATTTAAGAGGCACTCACAGAAAAGAGGCACTCACATTTAAGAGGCACTCACAGGAAAGAGGCACTCACAGGAAAGAGGCACTCACAGGAAAGAGGCACTCACAGGAAAGAGGCACTCACAGGAACGAGGCACTCACAGGAAAGAGGCACTCACGGGAAAGAGGCACTCACGGGAAAGAGGCACTCACGGGAAAGAGGCACTCACGGGAAAGAGGCACTCACGGGAAAGAGGCACTCACAGGAAAGAGGCACTCACAGGAAAGAGGCACTCACGGGAAAGAGGCACTCACGGGAAAGAGGCACTCACGGGAAAGAGGCACTCACAGGAAAGAGGCACTCACAGGAAAGAGGCACTCACGGGAAAGAGGCACTCACGGGAAAGAGGCACTCACAGGAAAGAGGCACTCACGGGAAAGAGGCACTCACGGGAAAGAGGCACTCACGGGAAAGAGGCACTCACGGGAAAGAGGCACTCACAGGAAAGAGGCACTCACAGGAAAGAGGCACTCACAGGAAAGAGGCACTCACAGGAAAGAGGCACTCACAGGAAAGAGGCACTCACAGGAAAGAGGCACTCACAGGAAAGAGGCACTCACAGGAAAGAGGCACTCACAGGAAAGAGGCACTCACAGGAAAGAGGCACTCACAGGAAAGAGGCACTCACAGGAAAGAGGCACTCACAGGAAAGAGGCACTCACAGGAAAGAGGCACTCACAGGAAAGAGGCACTCACAGGAAAGAGGCACTCACAGGAAAGAGGCACTCACAGGAAAGAGGCACTCACAGGAAAGAGGCACTCACAGGAAAGAGGCACTCACAGGAAAGAGGCACTCACAGGAAAGAGGCACTCACAGGAAAGAGGCACTCACAGGAAAGAGGCACTCACAGGAAAGAGGCACTCACAGGAAAGAGGCACTCACAGGAAAGAGGCACTCACAGGAAAGAGGCACTCACAGGAAAGAGGCACTCACAGGAAAGAGGCACTCACAGGAAAGAGGCACTCACAGGAAAGAGGCACTCACAGGAAAGAGGCACTCACAGGAAAGAGGCACTCACAGGAAAGAGGCACTCACAGGAAAGAGGCACTCACAGGAAAGAGGCACTCACAGGAAAGAGGCACTCACAGGAAAGAGGCACTCACAGGAAAGAGGCACTCACAGGAAAGAGGCACTCACAGGAAAGAGGCACTCACAGGAAAGAGGCACTCACAGGAAAGAGGCACTCACAGGAAAGAGGCACTCACAGGAAAGAGGCACTCACAGGAAAGAGGCACTCACAGGAAAGAGGCACTCACGGGGGACAACACCGAGCTGCAGCAGGTACGTGTGCATGAAGGAGCCCTGCTGGTACACGATAGGGGCATTGCTCTAAGCCTACTCTTGATTCTCAGAGGGACGCACACTGAGATAGAGATATGGACGAGGCACTCACAGGGGCAACACCGAGCTGCAGCAGGTACGTGTGCACGAAGGAGCCCTGCTGGTACCCGATGGGTGAATTGCTGGTGAGGGCGGAATAGATGTCCTGCGGGGTGGAGGGTGGAGGGTGGAGGGCGCACAGGTGAAAGGCAGAGAAAGGCAGAGCTGTGTTTCTGGTAGCCGATGGGGGAATTGCTGGTGAGGGCAGAATAGATGTCCTGGTGGGGTGGAGAGTGGAGGGCGCAAGAGAGGCGTAAGAGTGGGGTATGAGTCGAGCAAGGAACTGTGCGTGTTGCTGGTAGCCGATGGGGGAATTGCTGGTGAGGGCGGAATAGATGTCCTGGTGGGGTGGGTGGAGGGTGCAAGGCAAGGGCAGGTGGCAGGGAGACAGCGAGGCATAAGCATGCATGCATGCATGTGTGCACCAAGGAGCAATGTTGCTGGTAGCCCAAGGGGGAATTGACAGTGCGGGCAGAGTAGATGCCCTGGCGGGGTGGGTTGAGGGAGCAAGTGCAGGACGCAGGGAGATGGAGAGGCGTTGCAGGGAACAAAAAAAACTCTATACTCTGCAGGGAGAATGAGGGGCGCGTAGAGGGGCGCGTAGAGGGGCGTATAGAGGGGCGCGTAGAGGGGCGCGTAGAGGTCACTCATGTGTCGAGAAAGGGCCACTGCTTGCTGGTAAACGAGGATATTTTCTTAATGCGAACGGAAACTGACTACAATGCAGGTGATTATAAGGAAAGGGAGGCTGGGCTCACAAGGATTTGGGGAAGGAACTTCTGCACTGTGAGGATGGAGGTGAGACTGGCAACAGGAGCTCGTGATTATTGGGAAAGGAAGTTACAATAATGCAGGTGAATACAAGGGAAGAGGGGCTCACGAGGATTTGGGGAAGGAGCTTCTGCACTGTGAGGATGGAGGTGAGACTGGCGACGTAGGAGTTGGCTATTATGAAGGCCAGTAGCAGCCAGATACATACGACCACCCTTGCGAGCGTCGTCCTGATGCGGAACACTGTAGGAGGGAGGTGAGGCACACACTCACACTCACACACAGCACCAACCAACCACAAAGACGGTAGCGTTACGCGAGCCTATATTAAAGAATACCTTTGCTTATGACGACGAGAATGACGATTGGGGAAATGGCAGACAGTTGACGGAGGCACAGCACAGCACACCAGTTGCTTGCAACTGAGTATTGATTTCAATCCAATCAAGAAAGGAAGTCGAGCAGCGTTGTCTGTTGAATTGGAAGTTTCATTTCATGTCAAGCAGCGTTGGCTGTTGAGGTGATTCTTCTGAGTCGACCCAAGAGTACAGGTTCACCGGTTCAGTGGTTTCATGCCAAACCAGTGAACCGGCACTAACTTGTGAGAGCATGCCGAGTGGGGACAGAGGTGAGGGAGGACAAGGAAGGATGAGAGGAGAGAGAAGGGACGGGGTGGGGAGTGGTGGAGTGGGGTGGGAAGACACGGGAGTAGTGGGGAGAGGTGGGGAGTGGTGGATAGAGGAGGGGAGAGGACGCACCAGGAATGGAGTAGAATGTGTGGCAGCCATACCTGCAAGCACGGAGAAGGGTGGGAGGGACAGCCAATGGTACACGGTGGGTGAAGGTGCGTGCGCGTCTGTTGTGTGTGTGTGTGTGTGTGTGTGTGTGTGTGTGTGCGTGCGTGTGTGTGTGTGTGTGTGCGTGCATGTGTGTGCGTGTGTGCGCGTGTGTGTGCGCACGCGCGCGCGCGTGAGCGTGCATGTGTGTGTGCGAGGGGGGGGTGCTGGGGTGTGTGAGACACATAAGCACCACCAGGATCCAGCCAGCCCACCCGCTCGCTCACCACACGGCTGTCAGTCATGACGCAACTCTGCAGCGTGCTCTGGGAGCCAGGCGTGCGTGCGCTGCCTGTCCAGCAGCAGGGCGGGGCGGGGGGGGGGGGGGGGGAGCCCTGTGGCAATGCACTGCACTGCACTGCACACAGCATCAAGTTACCCTGGCACACCTGAAGCACCACCAGGTTCCAGCCCACCCACCCACACCCACTCACCACACGGCCGTCACAAGGCGCTTCTGCAGCGTGTCCTGGAAGTCAGGCGCGTGCTGCCTACCTGTCCAGCAGCAGGGCGAGCAGCCAAGCCAGCCAGAAGCCCTGTGGCAATGCAAGCAGCTTCAAGTTACTCTCTCAAACCTGAAACCCAAACCCACTCACCACACGGCCGTCATGAGGCGTTTCTGCAGCGTGCCCTGGAAGTCGGGCGTGCGCTGCCGGTCCAGCATCATGGCGAGCAGCCCCGTGGTGAGGCAGATGGCGGCCGTGACCGCCCACAGGGAGGCCGTGAACGGAGAGAAGACCATCCAGGGGTTGCTGTACGGCCGTGAGTAGCCCATGACTCCCAGCCCAGATTGCTGGGAGAGGGAAAGGGAGGGGAGAGCAGCAATAAGAGAGTGATGATGAGTCAGAAACTGGATGGGGTAGGTGCACATGCACGGGGTGGCAGCACGGGGTGGCAGCACGGGGTGGCAGCACGCACGGAAAGAAGTGAATCTTTGAGACGTCTCAGAATTCACTTCTTTCACCTGGATGGGGTAGGTGCACATGCACGGGGTAGCACATACGGATTGGTGGCATTTGCCGCTACCTGGAATGGCCCCGCCTGGTACATACCTGGATGGGGTAGGTGGTACCTGGATGGGGTAGGTGGTACCTGGACGGAGTAGGTGGTACCTGGATGGGGTAGGTGGTACCTGGATGGGGTAGGTGGTACCTGGATGGGGTAGGTGGTACCTGGATGGGGTAGGTGGTACCTGGATGGGGTAGGTGGTACCTGGATGGGGTAGGTGGTACCTGGATGGGGTAGGTGGTACCTGGATGGGGTAGGTGGTACCTGGATGGGGTAGGTGGTACCTGGATGGGGTAGGTGGTACCTGGATGGGGTAGGTGGTACCTGGATGGGGTAGGTGGTACCTGGATGGGGTAGGTGGTACCTGGATGGGGTAGGTGGTACCTGGATGGGGTAGGTGGTACCTGGATGGGGTAGGTGGTACCTGGATGGGGTAGGTGGTACCTGGATGGGGTAGGTGGTACATGGATGGGGTAGGTGAAGAAGACGACTTTGCTCCGCGAGTCCAGCACTGTGATGCCCCCCACTGCTGCATCGTACGTCTGCCAGCCAGCACAGGTGAAGCACAGAGAAACATGGGACAGCACAGGGACATACAGGGCAGCACAGGGCAGCATGGCACAGGGAGCTGAGGCACCTCAACGACTTGTTCCGCGAGTCCAACACTGTGATGTCCCCCACTGCTGCATCGTACGTCTGCCAGGCAGGAGAGCAGTGCATACCAGGCCAGGCCAGCACAGGAATGGACAGGGAAACACAAATGAACACAGAGAAACGTAGGGCAGCAAAGGGCATGCGGAGGAAAGAAAGAGGCGCACCTTGTTGGCGACAGCCAGCACCATCTGTGTGTAGCTGAGGTCCTTGTCACCATGTAAGGAGCACCCACTCACAGCCCAGAGCCAGACCTCGTGAGGACCTTCCCTCTTGAGCGGTAAGAGAGATCCTTACCTTGTTGGCGACAGCCAGCACCATCTGAGTGTAGCTGAGGTCCTTATCACCGTACAGCACAAACTCGTAGTCGAGCTTGTAGGGTAACCGCGTAACGGCCAGGCGGAACACCTCCACGCAGTAGCCTGAGAAGCGGCTGTTGCCCTCGCCCAGGGCGTCTGACACGTTCACATACTCCTTGTATTGCTGGCGGGAGGAGGGGAAGGGAGAGAGATCAGGGGCGAAGATATGGGGAGGAGGATGGGAGGGTAGGTATTTAGTTGGCTTGATATACAATACACCATGTCCTTACATGCGATTACCCGGAAAAGAGCGGATTGCCTATAAGCACGCCTGTTGATAGAGATACCCTGGTGACTAAGCAACCTGTTGATACGCACATGTGGTGTTAAGGACACGTGGTGATATGGGCACGTGTGATAAGGACACTGTACTTGTTGTGATCTGCTTACCTGCACCATGCCACCATGCAAGCACCTGTTTATTCGGCACTGCGATTCGAAGGCGAGTCTTGGGGAATGATCCTGTTGGCACCTGGAGGAGACAGCAAGACACACGAGGAGACAGGGAGCAGGGGCGAGTGCGGGACAGGAGCAGGGGGGGGTGCGGGGGCAGGGGGGAGCAGGGGCACGGGAGCAGGGGCGAGTGCCGGGGCGGGGGCAGGGGCGGGGGCAGGGGCAGGGGCAGGTGCAGGGGCAGGGGCAGGGGCAGGGGCAGGGGCAGGGGCATGGTCAGGGGCAGGGGCAGGTATGCAAAATGAGGTTGGCAGAGGTTTGGAAGGAAGGAGCAGCGTTTGTGAATTGTAGGTTCTAAACCCAGAGTGTGCTACAGCGAGGAGGAGAGAGAAACGAGTGCCACCAGCCTGCGAGCGTTCTGATCCAGCACTCATTTGTTACAACGAATTACTCAGTGTGAACAAGAGTAACGAACAAGGCTGCGAGTATTACTCAGTGTGTGACTCGCTCCCCGCTTCCCTCTTGAGGCGCCTCAAAACTCGCTCCCCCTTATGACTCCTCCTCTTACCCTACCAGCGTGACTCCCTCCCCTTGCGATACCAATTCCCTCTACTTGCCCTACCAGTAGGACTCCCTCCCCCCTTCCCTCCTACCTGGGTGAGCCCTCCAGGGAAGATGATGGGAAGAGCATTGGGAGTCTGCGCGGCACAGCAGGGAGGCAACGGCACTGATTCACACAAGTTAGAACGGTCAAATAAAGCAGGGAGGCAACGGCACTGATTCACACAAGTTAGAACGGTCAAATAAAGCAGGGAGGCAACGGCACTGATTCACACAAGTTAGAACGGTCAAATAAAGCAGGGAGGCAACGGCACTGATTCACACAAGTTAGAACGGTCAAATAAAGCAGGGAGGCAACGGCACTGATTCACGCAAGTTAGAACGGTCAAATAAAGCAGGGAGGCAACGGCACTGATTCACACAAGTTAGAACGGTCAAATAAAGCAGGGAGGCAACTGCACTGATTCACACAAGTTAGAACGGTCAAATAAAGCAGGGAGGCAACGGCACTTATTCACACAAGTTAGAACGGTCAAATAAAGCAGGGAGGCAACGGCACTGATTCACACAAGTTAGAACGGTCAAATAAAGCAGGGAGGCAACGGCACTGATTCACACAAGTTAGAACGGTCAAATAAAGCAGGGAGGCAACGGCACTGATTCACACAAGTTAGAACGGTCAAATAAAGCAGGGAGGCAACGGCACTGATTCACACAAGTTAGAACGGTCAAATAAAGCAGGGAGGCAACGGCACTGATTCACACAAGTTAGAACGGTCAAATAAAGCAGGGAGGCAACGGCACTGATTCACACAAGTTAGAACGGTCAAATAAAGCAGGGAGGCAACGGCACTGATTCACACAAGTTAGAACGGTCAAATAAAGCAGGGAGGCAACGGCACTGATTCACACAAGTTAGAACGGTCAAATAAAGCAGGGAGGCAACGGCACTGATTCACACAAGTTAGAACGGTCAAATAAAGCAGGGAGGCAACGGCACTGATTCACACAAGTTAGAACGGTCAAATAAAGCAGGGAGGCAACGGCACTGATTCACACAAGTTAGAACGGTCAAATAAAGCAGGGAGGCAACGGCACTGATTCACACAAGTTAGAACGGTCAAATAAAGCAGGGAGGCAACGGCACTGATTCACACAAGTTAGAACGGTCAAATAAAGCAGGGAGGCAACGGCACTGATTCACACAAGTTAGAACGGTCAAATAAAGCAGGGAGGCAACGGCACTGATTCACACAAGTTAGAACGGTCAAATAAAGCAGGGAGGCAACGGCACTGATTCACACAAGTTAGAACGGTCAAATAAAGCAGGGAGGCAACGGCACTGATTCACACAAGTTAGAACGGTCAAATCAAGCAGGGAGGCAACGGCACTGATTCACACAAGTTAGCATGCCGCCCTGCCGTGACCTGCTTTTGCTGATTCGTCCAAACGGGCCCTCATGTTGGGGTGAAAAACGGTGCGCTACTTGTTTCCTCATGCCTCCAAAGTAGGTAGAACATACTGAGCACGAACTATGCAGGTTGGTCCTAACCTGTATAAACTGAAGTTAGGTTTCAAACCTAAACTGTGATGTGAGCTGGAGCTTAGAAGTGAGCCTGGGCTCAACGTTGGGAAAGCAGGGGAAGGTGGGGAGGCTGGGGAGGGTGGGGGCTGAGCGGGAAGGCAGGAGAGGGCCGAGGGAGGGTGACTAACCTGTGTGCTGGGGCCTGCGACAGGCGCTAGGCGCGGCGCAGGGGAAGCCGATGAAGGTGGGGAGGGTGGGGAGGGTCGAGAGGGTGGGTGGGAGGAAGGGTAGAGAACGACTAACCTGTGTGCTGGGGACTGCGACAGGCCCTGGGCGCGGAGCAGGGGAAGCGGTGGAAGGCGGGGCAGATTGGGGGGGTGGGCGGGAGGAGGAGGGGACGAGGCCGAGGGAGGAGGACCAGAGGGCCACTTCCATGGGGGCCCGTTTTTGGATGTTGAAAATGCGGATCTCGCTTGCTGCCAGGTCGCCATGTGGGGTTAGTACTCTACTCTGCTCTACTCTACTCTGCTCTACTCTACTCTGCTCTACTCTACTCTGCTCTACTCTACTCTGCTCTACTCTACTCTGCTCTACTCTACTCTGCTCTACTCTACTCTGCTCTACTCTACTCTGCTCTACTCTACTCTGCTCTACTCTACTCTGCTCTACTGTATTTTGCTCTACTCTACTCTGCTCTTCTCTACTCTGCTCTACTCTACTCTGCTCTACTCTACTCTGCTCTACTCTACTCTGCTCTACTCTACTCTGCTCTACTCTACTCTGCTCTACTCTACTCTGCCCTACTCTACTCTGCTCTACTCTACTCTACCCTAATCTACTCTGCTCTACTAGAGTAGAGTAGAGGGGAGCACGCAGTATACTTGTGGAGGTGGATGGGCGCAGGGATCATGCGGAGAGGGCGGAGGAGGCAAACAAGCGATGCAGGGATCTTACGGATGATGGGGATGATGGGGATGATGCCAGGGTGCAACAGGCAGGGCGCGCTGGCGAGGCGCATCGGGCAAGCCGCACGGATGGAGCAAGGAGTACGAGTGAGACACAGCATACTTGCACTTTGTTGCAGGCGGGTGAGTGGTGGGGCAAGGGCATCCTGGGTGCCGTTGGGGAGGGACGGCAGCACCGGCAGCTCCAACTGCTGGAATGCCCCCCCCTCCCCTTCTTGCTGCTGCCCTGCTTGCTGCTGCACTCTCTTTTGCTGCTGCCGCTCTTGCTGCGGGCTTATACTCTGCTGCTGGGGGCTTATATTCCGCTGCTGCGTCTGCTTGAGTGCATGAGAGGAGGAGTTGGTCGATGCAGGAGGGGAGGGGTAGAGCAGAGAGTGGAGTGCCCGTGCAACGAGGGTGACAGCATCGTGGGACGAGAGCGCGTATGGGGATGGCATCTGGCATGGGGGGAGGGAGGTGGGGGGGAAAGGGATTTAGAGGGAGGTGTGTGGTAGGGGATACAGTAACTGTCAGGAGCAGAATGGCAATACCTAAGCAGAGGAGCAAAGAACATAAAAAGCAAGATTCAGCTAGAGACAGGTTAGTTCATGAGTGGTGGCAATTCTTTGAAGTGTCTCGGTGGCAATTCTTTATCAGCGGACATTAGTTCATGAAGGGCATAGGGCTTACCTCCATGGTGAGCCCAGGGTACTGTTAGTGAGGCATTGAGGTGCTACTGAAGAATCTCACACACTAGCTTATAACGAGCATAAGGTGTAGTGTACCTCTTTGGAGAGTCCAGGGTACTGCGAGGCATTGAGGTGCTTCCAGCGATCCAGGAAGGATGAGAGGTGCGGGGAGGAGGGCACGTGGGTGGCTGTGATGATTAGGCCCTGTGATCGAAGGGTGAGAGAGCGGTGGAGTGGGGTTGAGAGAGGCGAGGAGAGAGGGAGAGGAGAACATGCAACTGGCTGTGATGATGAGGCCCTGGAAGAGAGGAGAGAGGGGTGGGGTGGGGTTGAGAGAGGCGAGCAGAGTCAAAGAAGAGGAGAGAAGAGGAGAGGAGAGGAGAGGAGAGGAGATGCGATGAGATGAGATGAGATGAGATGAGATGAGATGAGATGAGATGAGATGAGATGAGATGAGATGAGATGAGATGAGATGAGAGGAGAGGAGAGGAGAGGAGAGGAGAGGAGAGGAGAGGAGAGGAGAGGAGAGGAGAGGAGAGGAAAGGGGAGAAGAGGGGAGGAAAGAGAAGAGGAGAGGAGAGGAAGAGGGAGGAGAGAAGAGGAGATGAGAGAAGAGGAGAGGAGAGGAGAGAGGATAAGTGGCGAGGAGGGCAGAGAAAATGCGGGCCTTCCAAGCCACCAAACACTCGAAACATAGCAAACTTACCTACAATCCTCTTATTCATCCACATCACCACTCTGCACTCACAAGACACACTCACATCATCCCACTCACACCAGCACCGCAATCACACCAGCACCACAGCCACACCAGCACCCCACTCGCACCAGCACCACTGCCACACCAGCACCCCACTCGCACCAGCACCACTGCCACACCAGCACCCCACTCGCACCAGCACCACTGCCACACCAGCACCCCACTCGCACCAGCACCACTGCCACACCAGCACCCCACTCGCACCAGCACCACTGCCACACCAGCACCCCACTCGCACCAGCACCACTGCCACACCCACCGCACCAGCACCACTGCCACCAGCACCCCACTCGCACCAGCACCACTGCCACACCAGCACCCCACTCGCACCAGCACCACTGCCACACCAGCACCCCACTCGCACCAGCACCACTGCCACACCAGCACCCCACTCGCACCAGCACCACTGCCACACCAGCACCCCACTCGCACCAGCACCACTGCCACACCAGCACCCCACTCGCACCAGCACCACTGCCACACCAGCACCCCACTCGCACCAGCACCACTGCCACACCAGCACCCCACTCGCACCAGCACCACTGCCACACCAGCACCCCACTCGCACCAGCACCACTGCCACACCAGCACCCCACTCGCACCAGCACCACTGCCACACCAGCACCCCACTCGCACCAGCACCACTGCCACACCAGCACCCCACTCGCACCAGCACCACTGCCACACCAGCACCCCACTCGCACCAGCACCACTGCCACCAGCACCCACTCGCACCAGCACCACTGCCACACCAGCACCCCACTCGCACCAGCACCACTGCCACACCAGCACCCCACTCGCACCAGCACCACTGCCACACCAGCACCCCACTCGCACCAGCACCACTGCCACACCAGCACCCCACTCGCACCAGCACCACTGCCACACCAGCACCCCACTCGCACCAGCACCACTGCCACACCAGCACCCCACTCGCACCAGCACCACTGCCACACCAGCACCCCACTCGCACCAGCACCACTGCCACACCAGCACCCCACTCGCACCAGCACCACTGCCACACCAGCACCCCACTCGCACCAGCACCACTGCCACACCAGCACCCCACTCGCACCAGCACCACTGCCACACCAGCACCCCACTCGCACCAGCACCACTGCCACACCAGCACCCCACTCGCACCAGCACCACTGCCACACCAGCACCCCACTCGCACCAGCACCACTGCCACACCAGCACCCCACTCGCACCAGCACCACTGCCACACCAGCACCCCACTCGCACCAGCACCACTGCCACACCAGCACCCCACTCGCACCAGCACCACTGCCACACCAGCACCCCACTCGCACCAGCACCACTGCCACACCAGCACCCCACTCGCACCAGCACCACTGCCACACCAGCACCCCACTCGCACCAGCACCACTGCCACACCAGCACCCCACTCGCACCAGCACCACTGCCACACCAGCACCCCACTCGCACCAGCACCACTGCCACACCAGCACCCCACTCGCACCAGCACCACTGCCACACCAGCACCCCACTCGCACCAGCACCACTGCCACACCAGCACCCCACTCGCACCAGCACCACTGCCACACCAGCACCCCACTCGCACCAGCACCACTGCCACACCAGCACCCCACTCGCACCAGCACCACTGCCACACCAGCACCCCAATCGCACCAGCACCACTGCGCACTCACATCCACACAGTGCCTGGACGTGGCACTCATGTCAGCTGCGGCCTCAGAGTTAACCTTTGAGTCGACTCAAAAGTCAACCCAGCACCACACTTACACCACCACCACCACTCTCCACTCACAATCACCACTCTGCACCAGAGTCCCAGCACCACTCTCCACTCACATCCAAGTGTTGGTTGGACGTGAAACTCATGACAGCTGCTGCATCCGAGGCGATCCAAACGCTGCTCCGCGCATACAGCCGCAACTTCCTGGCTGATAGGGGGTGATGGTGAAGAGTGAGGATGAGGGTGAAGGTGGGAGCGTAAACAGGGAGGTTGAGAGCATGAACGACTCGGGCCGCGTGACAGCAATTTTCACTTGGACAGCCAGAAAGGCTGAGCTCAACTTTTGAGACGTCTCAAAAGTCGGTGAGGTTGAGAGCATGAACGACTCGGGCCGCGTGACAGCGATTTTCACTTGGACAGCCAGAAAGGCTGAGCTCAACTTTTGAGACGTCTCAAAAGTCGGTGAGGTTGAGAGCATGAACGACTCAGGCCGCGTGACAGCGATTTTCACTTGGACAGCCAGAAAGGCTGAGCTCAACTTTTGAGAGCAGGGCAACCAGCTGCTCTGCTTCAACGACGGTAGAGAAGACAGTGGCGGAGGCGTGGAGCACGCACGTAGACCGCCACGTCTAGTGGCACCAGGGGCGACATGCGGCGGCATGTTCCTGGTGCCACGTCCAGGTGACTTTTGAGTTGACTCAAAAGGTGACTTTTGAGTCGACTCAAAAGGTGACTTTTGAGTCGACTCAAAAGGTGACTTTTGAGTCGACTCAAAAGTCACCTTGGCAGCAGGGAGGACATGCGGCGGCATGTTCCCGGTGCCACGTCCAGTAGAAGGAACCATGTCACCAAATATAATGGTAAGAGCATCATATTGGAGACATATGCTAATTGGGTGTAGAAGTGGTGTAGCGAGTGTTATTCAATCTGCATGTGGGGTAGTTGGGTTATAGAGAGTAGCGAGAAGTTGGTAGCATCGGGGGTTACAGGGCGCTTCGGGGACAATTTCAGGAACCTCGGGAGACAGGCAATCTGGCGAGGGCCACTCCAAGGCCTAGGCGGCTCGAGCTCAACCCAGCACGCTGAGTTACTCGCGACTGGGCAGCCAAGCACAAATAGCCTAGCCTAGCATAGCAAACCTGTTCTCTTGTCTTGTTTGCCTCATATAGTGGATAACGTTACCGCAACAAGGCTACGCTAGCTAGGTGACTACGCCACTGTGGGCAGCCATCGTGTGGGAGAGTAAACTTCTCACAAGACGAGAGAAGCAGATAGGCAGTATGGACTGCCATGAGCTGCGGTGGCAGCGGACGTACTCGCGGCGGGAGATACCGACGTCGCGAAGGATGCGCTCAAAGGAGCGGGGAAGATCGCCAGGTCGCTCGCCTAGCAGAGAGGCGGATCGGGCGGATTGGATGGCGACCAGTGACGGACTGCATGGTGAAGGCGAGCTCGGTCTGCAGATGAGATCGGCGCCAGGACCCCAGCCGTCGAAGAGCAATCCCTGGGATCTGGCAAGAGGCCAGCAGGGCGCGGGAGTAAGGCGTCAGGAGGATGCCGATGAGACGGACTCGCTGATGTTGGCAAAGGAGGCCGACGGCGAGGAGTTGGCGGAGGATGATCCCATGGACGAGGAAGAAGATCACTCGCCGGGTGACATGCGCAAGGCAGGCGAGAGGCGTCGTGGAGAAAAACGTGAAGAATGCGGAGAGGCGACGGGATTAAATCGCTCGACAGACGAAGTGTGTGGGAGTGGCGCAAGGCGACGCGGGAGCACGGAGGCAGATGGCGCGACCGACGAAATGGGTGGGGGCGGCGCGAAACGCCAGGGGAACCGCGCGGATGCAGATCGCGCGCCAGAGGAGGTGCGCGGGAGTGAAGCGAGGCGCAGCAGGAGCAAAGCAGCTGAGCCCTGGTCAAGGGAGCGAGGGGAGGAGGAGAAGAGGCGTGCTGCACCAGCAGGAGTGTATCGTTCGCCCGAGCCAGGACAAGGCCGTGCGGGCAGGAGGCGTATGGCGATGGGAGAAGGGAGATCGCTGGAATGGTCAGAAGAGGAGGAGGACGAGGATTACGAAGGAAAGCGCGTTCAGCACTCGCCAGCAAGGAGGCGGCGGCCAGCGGAGAAGGCGCGAGGCAGGGGTAGCATACGATCGCCACCCAGCGCCTCAAGGGAACAGGCGGGAGCGCGCCGTGAGAAAGCAGAAGAACACCTGTGGGCAGAGAGAAGGGCTGCAAAGGAAACAAGCGAAGAAGCAAGAAGGTGGCCCGAGAGAGAGAGCCGTGAGAGGAGGGGCGAAGGAGAGCGATACCAAGGGGGTGAAGAGGCAGGAAGAAAAGGGGAAACGGGGAAACGGGATCAGGAACGCCGAGGCTGGGAAGAGTGTGGAGATTATGAGGAAAGAGACAGGTGGGACTCACCGGAAAGAGGAAGGGAGTGGAGGCGCGAGGAGGACTGGCGAGGCAAGAGAGAAGGTGTGCGGACACCAGAAGTCTCGAGGGCAGCAGAGAAGGAGCGACAGCGAGAGGACAGAGTGCGGCAGTACCAGGAGCTGTCCCCTGCAAGGGGAGAGAAGCGTCGGGAAGATGCAGAGAGGCGCAGGGGGGAGCGAGAAGATGCGCGAGGGAGGAGCCCTAGCCCGATGGGCCCGAGGAGGCCGGGGCGTCACGGCGTAGGATCTGCTGGAGCAAGAGCAGCTAGGGAGGGAATAGAGCGAGTGCTGTATGGAACCAGCACGGGCAGCAGGGGAGAAAGGGAAAGGAGGAGAGGGGTTATGATGTCTGAGCAAGGAGGGACGGAGAGCTGGGAAACAGGGAAGTGGGGGGCAACAGCACAGCCGCGAGTGGAGGTGCCAGTACGCTTCACGGGAAACGAGAAAACCGGCCCAAGTCTGAAGAACTATTTGATGCAGATCAGCAATGTTAAATACCGATGTGACAGAAGCGGGATGGACCCGATTGAGTTTTCTCTGAGCCTGCCAAGCACGTTGGGAGGGGAAGCAGAGACTTTGTATCGCATGAAGATGGGTGAATGGCTGTGAAGGGCAGAAGAGGATGACGAGGACCCGACGGTACTGTTCCTGGAGCGACTAAGGAAGCAGTTCCCTGGGCATACGGCAGCGCGCATCAGGGAATTCCAGGAGTTTAGGCGGAGGGACGAGGAGTCACTGCTGACATACTACGGACGGTTAATGAACCTGGCGGAAGACGTGGTGTGCACGGACAGCAGCATGATCATTAGCAAGTTTCTGAATGGTTTAGACAAGGGATTGGCAGGAGGGTTGAGAATGAGAGTCTATGAGCTAGGAGCAGATGCAACACCAGAGGTGGTATTCGGGTTAGCGGAAAGGGTGGAGCTGGCGCAGAGGAAGTATGAGGTATACCTGTCGAGGACGATAGAGAAGAAGAGTCCTACCTGGGCAGCGGCGATGATACCAGGGGAGGGAGCAGGAGAAGAGAGCAGGCCGGAGAAAAGGGCAGAGACACGCACCTGTTACCGGTGTGGACAGCCGGGGCACATAAGGATGCACTGCAGAAACTGCGATGCATGTGGGAAGCCAGGGCACCGCCGAAGGGACTGCCCGGAGGCACCGACATGTAAGGAGTGCGGAGAAAGGGGGCATGAAGCAAGGGGATGCGATAAAGGGGCAGGCGGAACAAAAGGGTCACCAGAGGAGATCGAGAGCCAGATAAGGAAGTTGCGGGCGCAGTTGCAGGCCCTGGGAGGGAGAAAGGAGAAAGAGGCTGGGCTGTACGCGAGGGAAGAAGGAGCAGAAGAGGAGGAAGGGCAGGAGCCAGAGTACACATGCCTGGCGTTACGTAGCCGTGAGGGACTGGGGCTGCGCAGTGGGGGCAGAGACGGAAGGAAAGGGCGGGAGCTGAGAGGAAGGACAGAGAGGCAGGCGGGGTTGTATGCAAGTGAGGAAGAAGAGAAGGAGGAAGGGGAGCAGGAGCCAGAATATTCCTGTGCGGTGCTGTGTCGCAGTGAAGCCGTGGGGCTGCGCAGTGGGGGCAGGGACAGAGGAAAGGAGCGAGCCACGAAGGTGAGGGCATGGGCAGTGGCAGAAGGGGAACAGAAGGACGAGAAAGAGGAGGCGGAAGTGTGTGAATTAGTAGCAGCAGACACTGAAGGTAAGGATGAGAAGGTGAGGGCATGGGCAGCAGCAGAAGGGGAAGAGAAGGACGAGAAGGTGAGGGCATGGGCAGTGGCAGAAGGGGAAGAGAAGGGCGAGGAGAAGGAGGCAGGAGTGTGCGAATTAGTAGCAGCAGACACTGAAGGGAAGGATGAGAAGGTGAGGAAATGGGCAGCAACAGAAGGGGAAGGGAAGAATGAGAGAGAGGGGACCTGGGCGTGCGTACCAGTAGCAGCGGAAGCAGAGGAGAAGGACGAGCAGGTGGGGGCAGGAGTGGGTGTAATGGCAGCAGTAGAAGTAGAGGAGAGGGACGAAGAGGCGGGGGCAAGGGCGTGTGTACCAGCAGCAGAAGAAGCGGAAGGGAAGGGCGAGAAGGAGGGAGCGGTGAAGAAAGGAGGGAAGACGGGGCTGAGCAGTACAGACATGGGAGGGAATGGTTGGCAGCCATCGCTGAAGACAGCAGAGTTGTTCGGGGAAATCGGGGCAGGGGCGAAGACTGGTAAAAAAGGTACAAGGGCGAAGGATTGGATGCAAGCGCAGGGAAACAAGCTGGCGGAGCGGCATGTGAGGAAGCTGCGGGGAGGAAGGCCAGAGCTGCTGGGGGAAGCAGAGCGGGAGAGTAAGGAAGTGGGGGCATGGGAGCCCCTAGCAACAGGGGAAAAGGTAGACCATACAATGGAAGAGGCGGAGAACCGGGCGGCATGGGAGCGAGCTAAGGCAGCGGAATACTTGCAGGAGGTGATACCGGTGGCGGTGGACGACCTACATACCGTGCAGTTGAGGGATGCGTGCTGCTGTGAGAAGTGGCAGCAGCAGGAAGGCAAGGGGATAAAGGCGGCTATAGAGGTGGGACGGGAAGAGAGGGGCAAAGAAGGATACACTAGCTGTGGAATAGGGAAGAGTGAAGGGGAGGGCGCAAGCAGTGCGAGGCGTGGGAGTGCTAGTGTTGGAGAAGAAGAAGGGAGAACAGACCGGGGACCACCAGACCCGCACGGCAGGACTGAAGAGCAGCCGTCCTCAGCTGAGAGTCCTGTGACTCGCGCCCGAGCAGCTCGAGCACGAGCACAGGAGGGGGCAGGTAGTGGCTGAGAACGCAGAAGGGAACAGGGTAACAGGAGTGGGGACAGCACAAGGTGGGGAAAGGCCAGAATAAGAAGGAAGGGAAGAAGGTGAGGACAGAAGGCAGGGAAGAGGCAGGGGCAAGGGAGGAGTGAGGAAGGAGAAGGGAAGAACTCCGACAGCTGTCACCAAATATAATGGTAAGAGCATCATATTGGAGACATATGCTAATTGGGTGTAGAAGTGGTGTAGCGAGTGTTATTCAATCTGCATGTGGGGTAGTTGGGTTATAGAGAGTAGCGAGAAGTTGGTAGCATCGGGGGTTACAGGGCGCTTCGGGGACAATTTCAGGAACCTCGGGAGACAGGCAATCTGGCGAGGGCCACTCCAAGGCCTAGGCGGCTCGAGCTCAACCCAGCACGCTGAGTTACTCGCGACTGGGCAGCCAAGCACAAATAGCCTAGCCTAGCATAGCAAACCTGTTCTCTCGTCTTGTTTGCCTCATATAGTGGATAACGTTACCGCAACAAGGCTACGCTAGCTAGGTGACTACGCCACTGTGGGCAGCCATCGTGTGGGAGAGTAAACTTCTCTGGTAGTGGCTGAGAACGCAGAAGGGAACAGGGTAACAGGAGTGGGGACAGCACAAGGTGGGGAAAGGCCAGAATAAGAAGGAAGGGAAGAAGGTGAGGACAGAAGGCAGGGAAGAGGCAGGGGCAAGGGAGGAGTGAGGAAGGAGAAGGGAAGAACTCCGACAACCAGGGACGCCATGTGCTCGTGAATGGCCTCGTCTGTGGCTGACATGTGAGACATGTAGAAAACTATCTGTTCTGCGCCACCCACCAGCTTCAACAACAGTAGAGAAGACAGTGGCGGAGGCGTGCAGCACGTAGACCGCCACGTCTAGAGGCACCAGGGAGGATATGTAGTCGTGAATGGCCTCGTCTGTGGCTGACCGCGGGATGGCCACCCGCACTGCCACATCCGCCTCCGCCTGTTTTGGAAAGGGCAAGAGAAGGCACCCATTGCACAGCACCACACAGCACCACACAGCACCACACAGTACCACACAGCACAGAAAAGCACTTCAGGGAGGACATGTAGCCGTGAATGGCCTCGTCTGTGGCTGACAGTGGCATGGTCGCCTGCACTGCCACATCCGCATCCGCCTGTTTTGGTAAAGGCAAGGTAAGCCATTGCACAGAATAGCTTGGAATCGGCCGGGGCAAGGTGAGAAATCATGAGAGGGGGGACGGAAGCGTGTACACAACACATGCTTCCGCGTTGGCAAGGCTGCATGCGTGGCTACTCTTGAGTCGACCTGAGGTGACTTTTGAGTCGACTCAAAAGTGACATCATGAGAGGGGGGGACGGAAGCATGTACACAAGTCATGCTTCCGCGTTGGCAAGGCTGCATGTGTGGCTGGCGGCGGCATGGCCACCTGCACTGTTTGGGTTTAGGGTTTCATGTCGCTGCCGCAAGCCTCGCATTGAGACGTCTCAGCAGCATCAAGGAGGGAGGAATGGATTGACACACAGCAAGTCCATATTTAAGGTTTCAAGGGTTCAATGTTACCAAACGCCGCACAACTTATGGAACGCCTCTAACCAAGGAGGAATGAGCACAAAAAGGGGGGGGAGGGGGGGGGGGGAGGGGGGGGGGGAGGGAGGAGGGTTGTGTAGGTGGCGCTAGGCGAATCATGGAATCGGGAGGAAGTGGGATAGGAGAATACTGGAAAAAGAACAATGGAGCAGTAAAACCTTTCCTCTCTCGTCCATCCCTGTGACTCACACGGATGGTGAGAAGCTGTGAGGTGAGCGCAGCCACTCCGTTGCGGCCGAAGCGGTCGTCGCTGTAAATGAGCGCCACCTGCTGCCACTTGTAGCGCTTGATCAGCTCTGATTGGTTGAGACGCGGGGGTGATGGGGGTGGGGAGGAGGAAGGAGGATTTGGTTTCGACTTGATCAATAGTCCCGACGACTGTTGCTGTAGATAAAATACAAACACGCGTGTTGCTTGCCGCTACTGGCGCCTGGCATCTTGTACATACCTGCCTGCCACCACCTAATGGGGTGAGCTTCATCCCCACCTGCCATGTGCTCTGCACCTGCCTGCCATCTGTCACTCGCTCACCTGCCATGGCGGCCATCTGCACGCCGCTACTTGCACCTGGCATCTAGTACCCCACCTGGCATATGGCACGCTTCATCCCCACCTGGCATCTGGCACGCTTCATCCCCACCTGGCATCTGGCACGCTTCATCCCCACCTGGAATCTGGCACGCTTCATCCCCACCTGGCATCTGGCACGCTTCATCCCCACCTGCCATGGCGGCCATCTGCACGCCATCGCTGGCCACGGTGCGCATGAAGAAGGGGCGGGTGGCGCCCGTGAGCTGCACGTCCGTTGCTGATGCCGATATGAACGGCACCTGGCGGAGGGGAACAAGGGGGAACAGGACGGGGGAGGGAAAGGAGGTCGAAGGAAGAGAGGGGGGTGGGGGTGGGGAGGAAGTGGGGGGGTTACGGATGGCGGGAAGGAAGGGGGGAAGTGCGCAGAAGAAGGGGCGGGTGGCACCCTGAGTGAGCTGCACGTCCGTTGCTGATGCGGATATGAATTTGCACCTGTGGGGGGGGAACGAGGGGTCACAGGACGAGGAGGGGGGGGGGGGGAGTAGCATTAAGTATTTTTATGCGCTTATAGGTACCTGATCAATCAACGAGACAAAGGGAGAGTCTGGGTGGCATTGGTTGCCTGCTGTGTTACCTGGGTTGCCGCTGCAATTGGGCTGACTCGGGCGGCCTGGTCAGATGTGTGCGGGCCAATCACAGCCACCGGATGGTTCTCGAGCAGTCCAAACGCTGCCACGTGGAGGCAGGAGATGAAGACACGTGCAGATGAGGGAGAAGAAGGAATGCGGGTAGAGGGAATGGGGGAAAGACAATAAGGAATGGGAGAGGAGGGAGGGATTCAGCAAGCGCAGCAGAGTGAAATGACGGAGAAGCGAGCAGAGAAAAGGGAAGACAGGGAGGCAGTCCTTGGGGTGGGGGGAAAACCGTGAGGGGGAGGTTGTGGGGGGGAAGGGGACGAGAAGGGGCAGTGGGCGGGAGGGGAAGGGTGTTGACGGTAAATGGCCCCGTCCTCGCTTGGGCGAAGCAGACCTTGCAGTCGGGTGCGCGGGAGATGTAGCCGGCTGCCCGCAGACCGAGCGGGACATCTGTGCGGGTCGTTGCTGACTAGGGCATGCAGGTCGACGGAGTTGGTCGACCTGCACGGGACCTCTGCGAAGTTGCTTACGATGGGAAGTCCGCGGCCAACTTCAACTGGCATGGTCTACGAGGGGATTCGTTGACCTGTGGGGACGTCGACTTGGTAAAGGTCTTCGGGTGGTGTCAATCTGTGGTCGACCGAGTTACCTAGTCGACGAGGCTCCGCGGAGGTGTGTGATCGTCGTCAAGGTTGTTGTGGCGAAGTCGACCAACACGACAGCACTTGGTCGACGTAGTTCATCAGGCACAACCGTAGGCATGTGGCCAACTTGGCATGTGGCCAACTTGGCATCTGGGTGATATGCGTGACAGTGCACGTCATGCTCAACCGCCTACAAACACCTGCGAATTAGGTGTACGCATGTGTTGTAACCTGCGTTTGCAACGCTGGCAGACCACCCTGCTGCAGCATTGGCAAGCCGCCTTGGTGCAGCGCTGACAAGCCACCGACTTGCTACGTTGGCAAGCCACCTTTCTACAGCGTTGGCGCGATGTCAACTTGCAGTGCTGGCAGGCCGCCAAATTTGATGAGCTTGCGGTCGACAAGCCTGACTGCTAGGCTGCCTTGCATATTTTGTAGTCATTGTAGCCATTGCAATTTTCATCATTATTCTCAACTTTTTCTAGTGAAACTCTTGATGTTTTTGCCCTATGAACACACAAGTGTCTAGAGAACACGAACAAACGCTACGATCACTCTTACCACCCCTGTTTTCTCCCGTAGTCCAGCTGTTAGTGTTGAGTGACTCTCCGCAGAGGGGAGGGGAGGGTCCGCGAGCTGGCTAGCAATGAAGAGGATGTGGGATTGGGGAAGGAAACATGGGGAGAGGAAGCAGCGTGGCGGGGGAGGGGACGAGAAGGGGACGGTGGGCGGGAGGGGAAGGGGAATACAGCATACCTGCGAGCTGACTACCGAAAGAGGCGATGGAGTAGTTTTGCACCGTCAGATGTAGCACGTGGTTTGGCAGGATCCTGGGATCGCCGTTAATTTCCTCCACTGCCATGACAGAGGCTGGCCCGGGAAACGGGGAAGGAGAGGAGTGGAGGAGAAGAAAACGAGAGGAGAGGAAGTGGGAAGAGGAGAAGGAAATGGGACGAGAGAAAGAAGGGAAAAAGGATGAAAAGACAAGGAGAAAGAGCGGATGGGAGAAGTAAGGGGAGGAGGATTTGGCGGCAAGAGCGGCGTTGGAGCGCGCAGCACAAGCTTCGAGGTGTCTCGAAAATTGGATGAAAAGGAAGCTTGGTGGACGGAAGGAGGGAGGAGGGAGGAGGGAAGAGGGAGGTGGGAGGGACGCATTGCCAGGCACGAGAGGCGAGGAATGGAGGGCGCACCAGGCCATATCAACGTTGCTTAAATTTTGGGGGCCCTCAAAAGTAGGAGCAGCGTACCGGCCAGCATATCGACTCCCCCGGGCAGGTCAGGGGCGAACAAGCATCCCACCGTCAGCACCGTCCCGCTCTTGCTCTTCATCAATCCTCTTCCCACCACCGCCTTACTCGTCCGCGCGTCTTTCTTCGTCACGCCGTTGCTCGCCAGACTTCTCACCGCCGGTCTCGCGTTCGTATTCGCATCGTGGTCGTTGAAGCCAGAGCTGTTGTTGCTCGAATCGTGATCGTCGACGCTAGAGCTGATGTTCGCGTTACTGAGTAGTACTCGGTTCCCATCAGAGTTAGCGGTCAGATTGAAGTCTGCGTTTTCATCTGAATCAGCGTTAGCGTCAAGATGAAAGTTAGCGCTGAAATCAGAGATAGCAGCGTGTGTCACGTCCGTCGCAACTCGCTCTGGAACGTCCCATCCGTCGGTCAGATTAGAAGTACCTACATTGTTTGAGAAGTTAGCATACTGAAACGTCCTGTACTCTCCAGCTTTCGCCCGTGAACCTGTCGCGACGGCGCTTCCCGCACTCTCTGTACGAAGCTCCACTATAACGAACAGTAGCGCGAGAATGAAAGCCCGAGAGGAAGCTTCGCGGAGTCGACGAGGCGAAAGATGCTTACACCCATCCGGTGCTGCCGCAGAAATAGTAGAATTCCTGTGGGTATGCATTCCGTAATACCGACGCAATCTCGGTGCGTATTGGCCAATGTGACTGACGTCCCACTCTCCCACGCCACGCACGCTACCGTTATTACAGCTCCATATCGGAGTCATTGGATTGGAAGGAACAAGAAATTTACACAAGATGCAGCACCCCCTGTGACTTGTGAAGCATAGGTAAGTCGTTGTGAGGTGGAAGCAAGGCTTGGCAAGCACCTTTGTCAGCGTCAGGCGCCCCAGGAAGTCAGGAAGGTTTACCCGATGCCTGTTTTTCAGATATTGTTTTACGTCACCTTACTGAAATTGACTTCGACGTTCATACCACCCTGACACGGCTTGACATGAATCTTCAGCCCTGCCGAATCCGACCCTAAACACTTTTGACCCTGCTAAGAAGTCCTCTAGAGTCCAGCTCTTTTGTTCTCGAAATAGGCTAAGCACGCTTGAATCTGGATTGACACTGAAACTTCCGAAAAATCGGCGAGTCACTGAAACGCTATAAACTCAGTGAGTCACTGAAACACACTGAAAATTTGCCGAAGTCACTGAGAGACACTGGACATTTGTCTAGGTCACCAAAGCACTTTGGAAATTCGGCACTGAACACCACTGGGAATTCGTCAAGCAAGCCAAACTGGGAAGTTGACCCTACATTCCCCCCAATCACTCCCTATCGCCTACACCCCCTCCCCTATGGTATGTTCTCAACTCTTCGAGAACATTGCGCACCCTCTCCCCTTGCGTCCTCTTCAGCTCCATCAGTTTTCCAAACCTCCACTGACTCTGGTTTTATTCACACACACAAAAAAACTCTTCGGAGCTAGAAGTGTTACGGAAATACATCCTTCCATTCCCGACAAGGGAAAGAAAAATCCTGCAATTTCTTGAGTATGCCGTTCTTGGAACACTGTATTGGCAGGGTGAATGTTGGCCACAATTGGTTCTTGGAAGGGTTTCCCAAAACACATCGAGAGTCCTGGTCAGAGTGTTGTCAGCTTTCGGCTAAAGCAACAGCCTGAGGCCGGGGTACACCTGGCGAATCCAAGATCGCTACAACCAGTACTCGTTTCAATATATTTTTTCTTTTTTCAAACAGACATTCGCTCTATTGTCAAGCTGGCTGTACTGACGTCAATGCGTCCAAAACGGTCCCAGAACATAGCATATAAGCACATTACCCCGTACTAAATCGTAGGCATTAGCGATGTTTCTTTCGTAGACCGTTGTGTGTTGGTCGTCTGGAGAACATTTGCCCACCACCAACCTCGGGTTCGCTTCCAAGCACCAGCCCGCTGAATCTAAGCGCGCGTACTCATTGTAGCGAGGGCTCTTGATTTTCAGAACATCAAGACACAAGGTGTAAGACCAAGTACACACGATTCCCACAAAACGGCCCACTTCCAACACGCCGGCAGACAACCGACAGGAGCAGCGGTCAACATTCACAGCGAACGGACCACGGCCTACACGCCCATGTTAAAGCCCCCAAAACTCTGACCGCGAATAAGTTAGCCAATTTTTCTATGCAAAACACTCGAATTCCCGTAAAATTGGAACTGTAGTTCAAATTGTAACCACACTCCTACGAACAGGCCCAATTTGCCCCTGATTGACGCGAGTGCGAGACAGGAGCAAAATGAAGGATGGGGAAGTGAAGTGAAAGGGAAATCATGTGTAGCCGGGAGGCATCAACTGAAACGAGTTTTGGCGTTCTAAATTGGAACTGTACAATATTTTGACACCGAGGCATCAACATGGTCCGCAATATTTTCACACCCCCCTTTTTCACACCCCCTTGTCGTCACCAGGGCCAGGGTCCCTGGTTTTGAGGCAAGGTGCAGACGTGGTCGGTGAATAGGACAAGCGGCCGCCCCACTCCGTTGGGTGTGAAATTGGCGCGGGCTAGGTGTAACTTGGTCAAGATTTCTGATGACATATGCAACTGGCAACCCTTGTTGTTTACGTGGGCCCAATCGATTCTGATCGGCTCTGAGCTTATCGGGTCGAATCTGATCGGGTGACTTTACCCCTCGGGATAGTACCCGGAGAAATGTTCGCGAACTGGAAAATTCTTGTCGTGCTAAGCATTTCTTGGTAGTAATAACAGGACATTTGAGTTTCGGAAAAGTTAGAACAAAATGTTTGCTGTACGAAAACCGCGTCTGGACCAAAACTGTTTCGATCCGATCACCAAGGGAACTGAGGAGGGCCTTGTTCGGGAGCACCACAACATGAGGATGAGGATGAGGGTGAGGACCGAGCCTGAAAGAAATTACGTCCCATAACCACTTGCCAAGTTCTACAGTGTTACAGCTGTACAAACAGCGTCGACAGCTGTACAAACGGACACTGGAGTGCATAGTCAACGCCCCACGTGGAGTATAAAAAACAACCAGCCTCACCGTAGGGATCAAGATGCCCCATCACAACTGCACACTGAACCGCGTAGGAATGCTACTGTTTCTTGCACACTGAATTGCACATGGTCCGCGGTATTTTCACACCCTCCAATTTTACACCTCTGTGTAATTCGTTCCTGATTTATCCGGAAATTGAGGCTTGTTTCGAACAGTTTGGTTTAAGGAATTAACAATTCAGACTCCACTTAAAGCCGCTAACCCAAATTGCACAAGTTTTAAATGGTTGACAGGGATGAAGTTTTCTTTTTGGGGGGTGGCGAGAGGTCCTAATTCGTCAAATTCGTTTTCTTCGCAACACACAGCCAAAAGTGTGTCTTCCCACTGGTATGAGCTCGAAAGTCCCAAATTGCAAGTGAACTTCAGCTCCTCACCGTCAAGCTTTAAAATCTTGACCCACGCGCCTCGCAATTTGGGACTCGGGTCTTAAGAGTCAGCGGGAAAATAAAAACATGGTCGCAGCGGAAGATCCAGTCTTTACGTTGTGGTCACAAAGTTACACTTTCACAGCATCGACACTTTACAATGCCACGGATAGCCTCTAGTTCCTTGGGTGTCTGATCTCCAAAGCCAAAAACCGTTCAAATGGGTTTTAACCCAAAACTGACGGGGTGTACACCCCCTGATCGCACCCGGGTGGCAGGACACAAGTACACCATAACCGCGTCACAGGATAATTGTATAGGACCAACTCAAAGACTTTGTAATACAATGACTTCAACTCATGAGGTCTCATGTTTCCATCCTGATGGGGAATTAAATCACCAAACAAACCACTCCCTCACTGCGTTACTTCACATTTCAGGACAAAATATGTCCCCCACACCACCCCCTGAAGCCATGAATGCAGCTACGCCTCTCTAATAGTGTTAATAACGTTAACTAATATATTTACATAATTGTAAGGTCATAAGAAAATTGCACTTCAAATACTGCCATGCGTAGTAGCAAGTTAAGAAGCAAATGGAAGGAGAGGTAAAAAACCAAGGATCGCATATCACACATATGCACTCTTCTCTAATCTTCTCACCCGAGAGCAAGCATCCCTCACATCACCACAGTCTCACTCACACGGCATCCTGCCCTCACCTGTCTTGTGCAATCCTTGTCCGCACCTGTGTGTTGGTCTTCATGAGAGCAGCAGCTTTCACTCTCCTCCGGGCCCGTGGCGAGTACTGCACCTGCACTTTCCACGACGCTTGCTGCCGCCGCGCCATCACTGACACAGGCCGCCGCTGCCCAGGTGGCCGCTCAGGTGGACGCTCAGGTGGTGGGCGGCCAGTTGGAAGACCAGGCGGATGGCCACTAAGACATTGACCAATCAGGGCGTTGCCGATCGGGCCTTGAGTAGGTGGGATGGATGTTGGAGGCATGGGATGGTCCGAAGAGGGATGAATGTGGGCTTGAGCGGGGGGTTTTGGAGGCAGTTGCTGTGTGGGGTGACTGGACTTGCAGGAAGGTGGGATGTTGCTTGTGCTTGTTCCTGCACTTGATGGTCTCCTGGATGCTGCACCTGGTCCTGCACCAGATGCCTCATGGAATGATGCAT